AGAAAACGATGAGAAAGAGGAGCGCGACGAGCCGCCGCCACCGGACGAGCCCCGAGACGACCAAAGTGGGCCGAAGAGGCCAAAGGGGCCACCGGGAGGACCCAGCATCTTCGTTCACTCCTTTGGCACTTCGGCCGATTCGGCTGGAGTGGTCGAGGAGGTGGACGGATGGAAACGCATCCGGTTGAATCTGGATACCGGGGCCGCCGCGACCGCGATCCCAATCGAGCTTGCCGAGAGCTTGAAGGAAATGGGATACGCCTTGGGGCCCACCAGCGGAACAACCTACAAGACCGCAAACGCCGAGATGATGCGGGACGAGGGCGGCCTGCAGATTCGAGGCACCGACGCCCGTGGAAACTTGAAGGGAGTGACCGGAAGGGTCACGGGCGTTCATCGCCCGCTGGCGTCGGGAAGCAAGGTGGCTCAGGGCCACCACCTGGCGCTGACAAAGAAGGGCGGCTGCTTGATTCCCCTTGGGAGCAAGGCGGCCGCGGAGTACGATCAGTTCATGGCTGGCCTGGTGGCCCGCCACCACGCCATGCTTACGCCTGTTACCGTCGAGAACGGCATCTATATGCTTGACTTTTGGGTGCAGCCACGCACCACGGACCGGAAGCCCGAGCTGAACGCAACGGGCGACAACGAAGAGGAGAAGGAGAAGGAGGATGCCCCTTTTCCGGGGCAGCGGAAGGCGTAAGTCCTGACGATCCCCCGCCGGAGGCCCCTGCCGGCGATGGGGAAGCTGCACATGAGGGGCGGATGGCAATCGCCCGGCGGTCTCCCAAAGATCCGTCGCCCGCCGAGATCGACGAACACCGCGCAGCGGGGCATGTGACGCACCGTTCCTGGTGCATCCACTGCTGCAGGGCCCGTGCTGGGGCCCCACGACATGCGACCGGCGAGGCTGCGGACCACGACGCTGGTAGGTTGCCCTACGTTTCACTAGACTACTTTTACCTGAACTCTGGCCAAGAAAAGAGCGAGAGTGAGGGAGTGCTGCCTTGTTTGGTAGTGAAGTGTCACAAAACTGATAGGTATTGGTCTACAGTAGTGCCGCAAAAGGGTACTGACCTTTACGCTGTAGAGTGGCTAAAGCGCTGCTTGAACGAAACAGGTTTTAAGGAAGTTTGTTTGAAAAGCGACAACGAGAACCCCATCGTGGCGCTGAAGAAGAAGGTGAAAGAGGAGATGAGTTTGAAGGTGCACCTCGTTGAGGTGCCGGTGGAGGACCACCAAGCAAATGGATACATTGAGGTGGGCGTGCGTGAGATGAAGCGGCAGGTCCGGGCGATTCTCTCGGACTTGCAAGAGCGGCTTGGTTTCGATATCGAGCCGGCCCATCCATGCATGATGTGGCTTCCGCGCCACGCTGCCTACCTGCTTTCTCGGTTCCGCGTGGGATCGGACGGCCGGACGCCTTACGAGAGGACGTTCGGAAGGAAGTGGAAAACTCCACTTGTGAGCTTCGGCGAGCACGTGCTCTTTAGGCCGAGGCAGCCGCGAGACGGCAGGAAACACGACCTAGAGCCCAGGGTTAGCATGGGCATGTTCGTGGGGGTTGGCGCCAGCAACGACGTGTTCATCATGACAGAACGGGGTGTTGTGAAGGGCGCCTCGATCATGCGCCGGCCTCCTGCGGACCAGTACAAGTACGAGAACTGGAGCAAACTCCGAGGTGTTCCTTGGAGGCTCCAGGCCCGAGAGCCAGGAGAGCTTCGGGTCGACCTGCCTGCGGTGGTTGGACAGCCGAGGCGTGCGCCGCAGGAGGAAGTGGTTCCGAGGAACCTGTACGTTCTAAAGAGCGACCTGGAGAGGCACGGCTACACGCCGCTGTGCCCGGGCTGTGAAGCCCTGATCTGCGATATGCCGCGCAGATCGCACAATAACGAATGCCGCCTAAGGATCCAGGCGGAACTTCAGAAGACTGAAGATGGAAAGGCGCGCATTGATGCGGGCTTGACGCCGGGAGGAGGCCCAAGAACCAAGGAGGGGCTCCAGCAGCTGCGGCCGCGGCCAACGCACCTGTGTTGGTCGGCGCGCCGGAGCCAGATGCCGAAATGGCTGCGGGAGAAGCAGCAGGAGAGCCCGAGCCCAGAGGTGCCGCTCGGGAGCTGCAGGAACGCGAGGACGTTCGAGACGGAAGCCCCAGGAAGAAGAGGAAGGAAGGAAAGAAGAAAGGAGAGAAGAGAGACGCCGACGAGGACGTCGAAGTGCTGCACGAAAGGATGCAGCAAGCAGATGGAGGAGGAGAAGAAGCAACAGTGATGGGGCCACTCCCTTCTGCTGGGAGTAGAGATCCCCAACCAGAGCGGGTGCCAGAGCCATCGGCCGATTCGGCTGGAGGATCTGGCGCTATGGCTCTGAACCAGTTCACCGAGTGCCTCTGCGCTGTCTTGAGGGACGCGCGCGCCAAGGGCACCGTGAAGGAAGTTTTCTCCGTGCCGCGGGTTGCGGCACAGGCACAAGTGAAGGCCATGAGGCCTGGTTTCTCTGTGGACCTCGAGGCTACTCGTGGGGACGGCGAAGCCTGGGACCTCAGCAAGGACTCCCACGTGAACGAGCTGTTCGAGCTTTTAGAGCGTGAGGAGCCCAAGTTTCTTGGGGGCTCGCCACCACGTGGCCCGCTCTCAAGTTTACAGCAGGTGGTGGATGCATCTGCGAAGGTCGCGCCTTCCGCTAGGCGCGAGGCTGTGGAACGAGACCAGAAGCATCTGAGGACCACCGTCCGTGCTTACTGGACGCAAGTGAACGCAGGAAGGTACTTTCTGCACGAGCACCCTTCGGGAGCAAGAAGCTGGGAGGAGCCAGAGGTTAAGGAACTCAAGGCGGACCCCCGCGTCTTCGAAGTTCGAGGTCCCACCTGTCGATGGAGTCTGAGTGGAAGCTCGAAAGCGACTGTGAACAAGGAGACGCGGTGGCTCACGAACTCGAGTACCGTTGCCGACGTGCTGCGCAGAGCGAGCGCGGCATCGAAGGGCAAGCTTTGGCACCGGGAGGCCGAGATCGTCAAGGGACGGGTCAAGGCCACCCAGGAATATCCCGCAAAGCTTGTGCAGGGTATCTTGGAGGCGTTTCGCGCCCAACTGATCGAGGACGGCGAGTTCTCTCAAGCTCTCAACATGATGGAGGCAGGCCCTGTACCGGACGCTGCCCCTGTCATCGACGAGGAGGAAGAGGTCTTCAACCACCTTCCGGAGGCGAGCGACCCTATCGAGGGACCTGTCTACGACTCCAACACTGGAGCAGAGTTGGACCTTGAGAGGGTTGCAACTGCTCGCAAGGAAGAACTAGAGTGGGTTCGAAAGCAAGACCTCTACGAGAAAGTTCCGGAGGAGCAAGCAAAGGCTGCAGGAAAGATGCCCATAGCAATGAAATGGGTAGATCGCAATAAAGGAGATAACGAACGGCCCAACTACCGATCACGACTCGTCTGTCGTGAGGTAAAGCGTGCCAAGAACGCGGAATTCATTCCCGAGTTCGCTTCCTTTAGCGCGATGCCGCCCCTCGAGGCGGTAAAACTGCTCCTGTCACTCATGGTGACACTGAAGGTCGCCAAGAAGAGCCGATCACCTCTGAAACTTCGGCTCATCGACATATCCCGGGCTCACTTCTATGGGAAGGCCCAGAGGGATGTCTTTGTGACGTTACCTGAGGGTGACCGTACACCAGGGATGGTTGGCAAGCTTCGCAAGTCCATGTATGGGACGCGGGATGCAGCTGCCATATGGCAGGCTGATTACACCGCGGCCCTTCTGGCTGCTGGGTTCGAAAGATGCCCAGCATGGCCTGCCATCTTCTTCCACAAGGATCGAGAGATTCGTCTCCTGGTCCACGGTGACGATTTCCTCATTTTGAGTGACGACGCCGGACAAGCCTATGTGGAGCAGATCCTGAGATCCAAGTACGACCTTAGGGTTGATGGAAGCATCGGGCAAGGGGAAAAGAGGCAGGAGTTTTGTGTACTGAACCGTCTCGTACGTTTCGACGAGAGGTCAGGCACTATCTCCTACGAGCCTGATCCCAGGCACGCTGAAATCATTCTGAAAGACTTGGAAATGGAAACCTGCAAGCCGGTAAAGAGCCCAAACGAAAAGCTTAAGGCAGAAGACGTTGCAAAGCGTCTGGAGATGCCTACGGTTGCGCCGGACCGCATTAGCAAGTACCGCTCCTTGGTCATGCGTGCGGCCTTTTTGGCGCAAGACAGGCCGGATCTGTCTGAAACCGTCAAGTGCCTTGCACGGAAGATGCAAGGGCCTACGGAGGCTGACTTCGGAGACCTCAAAAGGGTGGCTCGGTATCTGAAAGGTACAATGCGGCTGGTGCAAAGGTTCACGCCACAGAGGTTCAGCGAGGTAGTCACAGTCCACGCGGACAGTGACTTCGCGGGATGCCTTCAGACGCGCAAAAGCACCACCGGACTCGTGTGCTACTACGGCAAGCACGAGGTGAGGCACTCGAGCAACCTTCAAAGCACGGTGTCACTATCCTCGGGAGAAGCCGAGTACTACGCTCTGGTGAAGGGAGTGGCCAGTGGGATGGCTACTCAAGAGCTACTGCGTGGATGGGGCTTGGACGTGAAGCTGCAGGTTCACACTGACAGCGCTGCTGCACTGGGTACCTGCAACAGACTCGGGTTGGGTAAATCCCGACACGTGCAAACACGTTACCTGTGGATCCAAGAGAAGCTCGCAAACAAGCAGTTCGAGTTGTTCAAGATCGACACCAAGCTGAACACGGCTGACCTGCTTACTAAGTCGCTAGCCGTGGAAAGTGCTGAGCAGCACCTGAAACGCATGGGCTTCGAAGTGGTCTCTGGTAGAAGCGGTTTAGCGAAAGCAGTTGTATAGTGTACAGTGTCCTAAAGTGGACGTCAGCGGAATCGCCTCCGCCCAGGAGGGGTGATTCCGGACACGTATCTTCCTAAATGGTAAGATGCAACTGACCTTGCTTTTGGCTCAAGGAAAATAGGAGCGTTGCTATTATCTAATCAGTTGCACATGGGCTGTCGAGCGGTTTATCGCTCGCGCGAAATGTTTCATCCCTACAAATCGTATAAGCCCCAAACCCTAAATCCTAATCATCTTCCCCCTCAACTCTGATGAAGACCGCTTTATGATAAAGTCTTCTATGTGTTCCGTGTCGTACACCGATGTAAGGTCGTGTATATACACGCCCGAGAGAAAGCCTACATGGACTTTACCACACCTTTAAAAGGGGTCTATAAGGGCTACTATATGGGATCGATACGGGTACTATGAGATAAGTGCCTTAATAAATTAGGATAGGGTTTTGGGGCCCATTATACTAAAGTTGATGAGAACCGTCACCGCGAAACCCCGAACCCTGAGCCCCGAGGCCCTAACCTTAAACCGAAGCCAGGCGACCCTTGTCCAGGCCATTGCCACGGTCACCACCGCCGCAGAGGTCACGGCTGAGGGGTTCAGGGGTGTAGGTTTTGGGCTTTAGGGCTGTAGGGGAACTCTATAGGTCAGGTTTTGGTGATTGAGACTTGGAGGCACAAAGCGAAAACGGGTGAGCTTGCTAGCATCAGACTTGCAAGTGCTCAACAACGGAAAAACCAAGAATAGACGAGATTTCGCCTCAGGATTTCGGATTATATGGGTTTCCCCTCAGTGGTTCGGGGTTTGGAGGTCTTGGGGCTTTTGGCGTTAAGAGGAGCAAGAGTGGTCCGGGGTGTCAGAGCCCTACTAGCTACTATCTTAAGCCCTGAGCCCAGCCCCTGTTTTTTCACATAGGGTCGCACATGACGTCTCAGAGGGATCAAAAGCTTTTTATGAGTCGGTGTCGAACTGAGAAAGCCAGAGTATGATGGCCTGCATCTCAGCGGTGATATGGCGGCCGTTTTCATGCCTCCGAAACCCTAGCCTCACACCCTAGGCCCCAAGCCCTAAGCCCCAAGTCACCCTAAAGCTCCAAAATCCGTCAAACTCCCGAACGCATAAAACGTCAACCCTAAACCCTAAACCCTAAACCCTAAACCTTAAACCCTAAACCCTAAACCCCTAAACCCTAAACCCCGAAGGCTTAAAAACACCCTCATGAAACCCGTGAGGTGCGGAGAGGCGCTAAGAGGCAAGACCTGCTGTCACTGGCCCAAGCCGCCACCGAGGAGGGCCATGAAAGTCTGAAATTTCAGACCCCGAATATCGGACGCCTTTGAAGAGTTTATATGATGGGCAATTAGCCATTATATTTCGGTTGCTATAATGAAGGGAAAAAGAGGAGCCTAAATTTGGTTTGGAGAGTTGCTATAAATAAGGGTATAGTTTAGAAGCTGCCCCCACCCTGCAATAGTGGTATAATAGGAATATATTCGGGCCCTATTATGCTCCTATTATACCACTATTACAGGGTGGGGACAGCTCCTAGGGTCTAGTACTTAGAGGACCATGGGACTTGGTAAGTAGGGTTATAAGTAAGGTAACTATAGTTATATCTACTTATAACCCTACTTAAGGTACTTATAACGCTACTTACTAAGTCCCAGGATCCTGGTGTGGAGGGTACTGAAAGCCTGAGTCGTTGAACCCCGAGTGGAGGGGCTCGGGGTCGGGTTGGGTTCCTTTCAAGGGCTCGTCTACAGGGATAGCCTGTAAGGGCTCCTTTAAGGGTCCCTTTAAAGGGATCTATAGGGACTCTATAAGGGTATAGGGTTTAGGGTTCACTTGGAGGTTCATGGGTAGTTATAAGTGAGGGTCATAAGTCCCCCTAATATGGGGTATAAGTATAGCTACCCTACTTATAACCCTACTTGTAAATATCCATGAACCTCTAAATGGGAGCCTTAATCGTGAGAATAGGGTGCTAGGGTACCTTAGACTATTTTCCATAAAGGGACTACAAGGGGATACTGCGCAGAAGTTATATTTACCCTGAAACTGTAACCTTCCGGAAATACGACGAAGCCAAAGCACGGCTTAGACCCTAAGCCAACCTGCTATAGGGGCCTAAAGAATTACCTATACTATTCTGGGGGTTCCTCATTATAGTTATAGTAAAACGGGCCCCAAAACCCTATTCTAATTCTTAAGGCCCCTATGGTAGGGTATATTAGAGGGTAGTTGGGGGGCTGAACATAACTCCGGCTCAGGGTCTAAGGTCAGGGGTTTAGGCGGCATGGCTCAGGGCTGCTTAGGTTGTTTGAGGGGTTTTAGGGGCTGGGATTTACAGGATTTATGGGGCTTTGAGAGCTTTGGAGTTTCGGGTAGACCCTAAACCCGGAACTCCAAACCCTGAACCCTAAACCCTAAACCAGGGGTCTTTGATGGTTTCAGATGGTTTCAGGGTTTATAGGGCTTTCCATGTTATGTGGGGCTATGAATTCTCAAGGTGCGCCTCGGGTTTGGGGGCAAAAAAAGAAAGTGTCTTCGGAAATTAGGGGTACCTTAGGGTTCCTTTAAAGGGTTACTATAAGGGCACTATAAGGGTTCCTTTAAAGGGCTCTATAAGGGGTTTAGCTAGATTTTCCATTACAAGCGAAGGCCCGAATCTGGGCTCTCAGCCGCAGCCCCAAATCCTGGACCCCGCTAGGCGCTTTGGGAAGCTTTTTGATCCCCCTTTATGGTTCCTATAGTGGGTTTTCCTGACTTGCCACGGAGGACATCCGGAGACGTGTAGCGCGGGGCGAAGCTCACCGGCAGGTGCGTTTGCCTTGGGGTTTAGGCTTGAACGCTTCAGTGCTCGGAAGGATTTGTTCGGGGTTACTATCGGGTCTTGGTTGGCGTTTGGAGTATAGTTTGTTGTTTGTGCTGTTGCGGAGTTTGAAGCACTTCCTGCAGATATCGGAAGTTTATGGTTTAGAGTTTGTTTTATTGTTGCCTGGCTCTAAGAAGCTTTGCATAAACATATATATTCTGAGTCGAGATGCTTCTTGTAGTCCTATAGTCTCACTTGTAGTTCTTTATTCTTGGTTTAACCAGTTCTCTAGGAGCCTGTAAGGTAATCCCAAGGATTTGCAAAGGAACTACAATGGAGACTTTAGGTACACCCGCAGCGCCATGATTGCTCGTGACCTCACCGGGATGCCCCGGAACCCGAAACCCTAAACCCTAAACCCTAAATCCTAAACCCTATACTATACCCTAAACCCTAAACCCTATACACTAAACCCTAAACCCTATACCCTAAACCCTAAACCGTGAAGGCGCGGCTGGCGACAGCCGGGAAGTTCGACCAGGGGCCTTCTCCTGGCACGGTGGAGCTCAGCAACCTCGGGACCGTCCCGGGGCGGTCCAAGGGGAATTTTTGAGCCTTTATGGCGACTCTCAAGATTTCTTGGAAGAGGGAATCCCTTAAAAATCCCTTTCAAGGGGCCCTAAGGATACCTTCAGTTTAGAGGGCCAGTAGCGCCTAAGACCTGCAGAAGGCCATCTAAGGCCTTCACAACCTTAGTTTCGGCACCCTGAATCCACTGGCTTTAAGAAGCGCCGCAAACGCCAAACCGTGAGCCCTGTAGCACTCAGAGAGGAAATTTCCGGTGACGGGCCACGAGTTGCTGCTTGATCAGCGCTTCGACGGCTACGAGGGGCTGCGCCTGGGCGAATATTTGTGGAGTTTCACAATTCAGGGGACCCTGATAAGAAATGCATTTATGAGGGTTTTACCTTCGAAAAGCTTTTAACGGGAATCTCAGAGTAAAGGTATCGGCATTTTTTTCTTTTGTGACATGCGGGTTTCGAGCAGTTGTTTCTCTCTTTTGGGCATGGTATGTGAGTTTCAGAAAACAAGGGACCCTTTTGCAAACCCTAATTATCCTGGGATGCGAACTCTAACGACCTCTAATTCTTGACCCTTCGACCCCCCCCCCCCCTGCCCCCAAAATGTGCTTTTTTGGCCATCTGCCCCCTCCTTGGGGTCAGGGGAGTTGCTGTGCAGGGTCGGAGTTTAAGTCTTCTTGAGGTCTTGTAGTGTTAGCATCTGCGGAAAGCTCTGGCTTCCTTAAACCCTAAAGAAAACCTTTAAATTGCCAACGCAGGAGTATTCTGGCCCACACGGAGGGTAGTGGGGGACCGTTGCGACTGCTTGCGTCGGTGCCTTCGGCATGACTTTTTTTTTGGTGCATGGGGCGTTTCGGGGCTTTGAGGTTTGGCTTTGTGTTGTGGGGGTAGGGTCTGGGGGCTGTGATTGCTAGGGCCTAGGTGCTTGTATTGAAAACCCCTAGGCCCTAGGCCCCACAAAGCTTGCTGGCAAAACAGAGTATCCTCAAAGACAAGGGCAATCTAAACCCTAAACCCTAGACCCTAAGCTCAAGATAGACTTTTTTTGGATTTTTTTGAAGGGACCCAGGTTTGACAACCGACAGGACCTCCTCACCCCGCCTTTCCTCAACAACAGTCTGCTGAAGGGCCGCCCTAAGGCCTGAGCCGTAAAGATGGATGTTGCGGACGGACAAAGGAGCTTTAATAAACAAAACTGTAAAGAATACTAGGTATCGATAAGGTATAATCTTTAACTTTAACTTACGTTGCTCTTCAACCTTGGACCGACATGTGGAGCCAAAGGGGTTCTGGATGCGGCTTCGGGCCATACATCACGGGACCCCCTCTAGGCAATCCCAAACCAAACCCTTTCAAGCATCTTTAGAAACCTTTTCACATAGAGCTTTAAATAATTGCCCATACTGCTTTAAGCTTCCTTATTCTAACTATCCTATAAATAGAATGCCCCAAAACCTTATTCTAATGCTCAGACTTCTGCCATCTATTTGCAGCAAGTTATACTTATAGATTCATTCATTCTTTACACTTGTTTATACACATCCTCTGAGGATGCACACGTCGTCCTTCGTTTCGCTCTTCGTCGACAGGCTTTCGCCCGCATCCGCCCCAAACCTTCTTCTAGTTATTACGACCCCTAAACCCTAAACCCTAGACCAACTCCGCGAGGTTGGCGATGGCGTAGATGGGTGGGCTGTCTCAGAGGCGCCGGGGGCTTTCGTTGTGACGAGGAAGCCGAGTCCCTAAATCCGAGGATCGCATGCGAAGCACAGAAAGAAGCCACTGCACCGGGTACAAGTAGATAAAACTGTAGTTACCGAACTTAGAGCCCTACTTACTAAGTCTCATGGTCCTCTAAGTAGACCCTAAACCCTAAACTAAACCCTATAGATCCCTTTAAGGAACCCTATAGATCCCTTTAAGGGACCCTTACTAAGTCCCATGATCCTCTAAGGAGACTCTAAACCCTAAACTAACCCCTATAGATCCCTTTAAGGAACCCTATAGATCCCTTTAAGGGACCCTTACTCAGTCCCATGGTCCTCTAAGTAGACCCTAAACCCTAAACTAAACCCTATAGATCCTAGATCCCTATAAGGAACCCTATAGATCTCTTTAAGGGACCCTTACTAAGTCCCATGATCCTCTAAGTGCACTCCGATGCCTGCAGCCAGCTTCAGGTGCTCGCTTGCGGTTTGAGGCAGCTGGCGGTTCTCGCAGGGACCGACGCCTGAAGGTAGCTAGGTAGGGCTTTGGGACATTTTATATTTTCCCTTATTGGGCTTAAGCTTATTTACTAATATTTTTCTAAGGCTTTAAAAGCCCCACCTAGGTAGGGTTTCTGGGTTCTGTACTTGGAGGTTCATGGGTAGTTATAAGTAGGATTATAAGTAGGGTCACTGTACTTATCACCCATATTAGGGGACTTATAACCCCACTTACAACTACCCATGAACCTCCAAGTAAGGGTTTTGGTGCACATTACACTATACTTGTTTTTCAAAGGAGCACCCAAAATAGTATCGGTATGTACTATAATCTCCAGAGAAATTATTTTGTATTTGCGGTCATGTAAACACGAGAGAATATGAAACACACTATTTCTAGGATGGTTCTGAGGGCGGGATGGTGCAAGGGTTCAGGGCTTTGGCTTAGTGGGGGCTGTAGGCACTCGAATCGGGTTTTAGGGCTCAGGGTTTAGCCTTTGACTCTCATCTCTGACTTTCTTGGCCGACTTCCCAAGCCCGGATGCAAAAGGGCTCAGGGTTTAGGAGTAGGGGTTTAGGGCTGTGGCTTGATTCTCCGACGAGCCTGCGGCTGCGAAGAAAGTCGAAAGTCCCGCGAGTGTTGAGGGATCGGGGTTTGACTAGGTAGGGCTTTGGGACATTTTATATTCGCACTTATTGGGCTGAAGAGGATCTTACCTGCTAATATTTTTCAAAAGCTTTGAAAGCACCTCCCAGCTTGAGGTTGCCCGTCAGTGTCGGTTGATTCCCGTAACGACGATTGATCAGGATCCCTGCCATAAACCTGGAGCCTTAAACAGTGAAGTGGGCAATCGGCCGACTGAGTGGGGTGTGGACATGCACAGGCTTTGAGCTCAGAGTGATTGTGTTGTCAAAAAAAAACCTTACACGTCAGGCTCCAAAACCCCTTCATTAAGGCTTATTAAGGAATATACTTTAAGATCATATTAGGGATCCTATTATAATTTAAGGTATATTCCTTAATTATGGGGTTTTGGAGGCTCTGCCTACCACAATTCAAGGAGCATTCCTGACTTATTGGATTTGGCCCCAAGACCTGAAGCGAGGAGACAGTGCTTGAGACCAGAACACCCTAAACCCTGCAGAGCCTGAACCCTAAACCCAGAAGTGTACAACAAAAAAGCCCTAAACCCTAAAACCCTAAACCCTAAAACCCTAAAGCCCTAAACCCTAAACCCCAAAACCCAAAACCCTAAACCCTAAACCCTAAATCCCTAAACTCTACACCTGAGACCCTGCAATGCGGGCTTCGTCCTTGCCAAGTAGGAGGGAAAAAATGACCTGAGACCCTAAACCCTAAACCCTAAGCCCGAGACCCCACGAATCTCAGGCCCTGAAGGTCAGAGGGAACCGGGCAACCTTTTTGGGTTCTATAAGGGGTTCCTTTAAGGGCTCTACAAGGGGTTCCTTTAAGGGTTCTTTAGGGGTTCCTTTAAGGGCTCTACAAGGGGTTCCTTTAAGGGCTCTATAAGGGGTTCCTTTAAGGGCTCTATAAGGGGTTCCTTTAAGGGCTCTTTAGGGGTTCCTTTAAGGGCTCTACAAGGGGTTCCTTTAAGGGTTCTTTAGGGGTTCCTTTAAGGGCTCTACAAGGGGTTCCTTTAAGGGCTCTATAAGGGGTTCCTTTAAGGGCTCTATAAGGGGTTCCTTTAAGGGCTCTTTAGGGGTTCCTTTAAGGGCTCTACAAGGGGTTCCTTTAAGGGTTCTTTAGGGGTTCCTTTAAGGGCTCTACAAGGGGTTCCTTTAAGGGCTCTACAAGGGGTTCCTTTAAGGGTTCTTTAGGGGTTCCTTTGAGGGCTCTATAAGGGGTTCCTTTAAGGGCTCTACAAGGGGTTCCTTTAAGGGTTCTTTAGGGGTTCCTTTGAGGGCTCAAAAAGGGGTTCCTTTAAGGGCTCTACAAGGGGTTCCTTTAAGGGTTCTTTAGGGGTTCCTTTAAGGGCTCTACAAGGGGTTCCTTTAAGGGCTCTATAAGGGGTTCCTTTAAGGGCTCTATAAGGGGTTCCTTTAAGGGCTCTTTAGGGGTTCCTTTAAGGGCTCTACAAGGGGTTCCTTTAAGGGTTCTTTAGGGGTTCCTTTAAGGGCTCTACAAGGGGTTCCTTTAAGGGCTCTATAAGGGGTTCCTTTAAGGGCTCTATAAGGGGTTCCTTTAAGGGCTCTTTAGGGGTTCCTTTAAGGGCTCTACAAGGGGTTCCTTTAAGGGTTCTTTAGGGGTTCCTTTGAGGGCTCTATAAGGGGTTCCTTTAAGGGCTCTACAAGAAGTTCTTTTAAGGGTTCTTTAGGGGTTCCTTTGAGGGCTCTATAAGGGGTTCCTTTAAGGGCTCTACAAGGGATTCCTTTAAGGGTTCTTTAGGGGGTTCCTTTAAGGGCTCTTTAGGGGTTCCTTTAAGGGCTCTACAAGGGGTTCCTTTAAAGGTTCTTTAGGGGGTTCCTTTAAGGGCTCTTTAGGGGTTCCTTTAAGGGCTCTACAAGGGGTTCCTTTAAGGGTTCTTTAGGGGTTCCTTTAAGGGCTCTACAAGGGGTTCCTTTAAGGGCTCTATAAGGGGTTCCTTTAAGGGCTCTATAAGGGGTTCCTGAGGGCTCTATAAGGGGTTCCTTTAAGGGCTCTACAAGGGGTTCCTTTAAGGGTTCTTTAGGGGTTCCTTTAAGGGCTCTACAAGGGGTTCCTTTAAGGGTTCTTTAGGGGTTCCTTTGAGGGCTCTATAAGGGGTTCCTTTAAGGGCTCTACAAGGGGTTCCTTTAAGGGTTCTTTAGGGGTTCCTTTGAGGGCTCTATAAGGGGTTCCTTTAAGGGCTCTACAAGGGGTTCCTTTAAGGGTTCTTTAGGGGTTCCTTTAAGGGCTCTACAAGGGGTTCCTTTAAGGGTTCTTTAGGGGTTCCTTTAAGGGCTCTATAAGGGGTTCCTTTAAGGGCTCTACAAGGGGTTCCTTTAAGGGTTCTTTAGGGGTTCCTTTAAGGGCTCTACAAGGGGTTCCTTTAAGGGTTCTTTAGGGGTTCCTTTAAGGGCTCTATAAGGGGTTCCTTTAAGGGCTCTACAAGGGGTTCCTTTAAGGGTTCTTTAGGGGTTCCTTTAAGGGTTCTACAAGGGGTTCCTTTAAGGGTTCTTTAGGGGTTCCTTTAAGGGTTCTACAAGGGGTTCCTTTAAGGGTTCTTTAGGGGTTCCTTTAAGGGTTCTTGAAGCAGGGGTTCCTTTAAGGGTTCTTTAGGGGTTCCTCTGAGGGTGCTTTAGGGTTTCCTTTAAGGGTGCTTTAGGGTTTCCTTTAAGGGTTCTTTTGGGGTTCCTCTAAGGGTTCTATGAAGGTTCCTTTAAAGGGGTCCAGAACCCTGCAACCTGAAAATCGCCTTTAGCGGTGTTTCAAAGCAGTAAAGCCTGCATTTTCGATTCTGGGGTCGGCAGTGAGCGCCTCGAAGAGCCGCCTACCTACACCTGCTAAACCCTACTTTTTTGAAGGTTCTTCTTATGAACCCTAATATTGGATTCATAGGTGCCCTACAAAAAAGTAGATTCTGGTAGGTTAAGGCAGGGTTGTTGCGGGTGTTGGGGCCCCAGGGTTCGGGGAGTAGGGCTGCAGGGCTTAGGGTTTAGGGCTTAGGGTTTAGGGCTCAGGGTTTAGGGGTTTAGGGTTTAGGGGTTTTAGGGCTTCGGGGTTGCAGAGTGCTGGGTTCTAAGTTCTAGGTGCTGGGTTTGGGGATTCTTTCTAGCCCCAGCCCCGGGGCAGGGTACGATCTATGCCCGGGAGCTTGCAACCACTGGGACGGGGATTTGGCGTAAAGCCCGAGGATATGGCGCCACGCCTTCATCACCGAGCACCGCAAGGCTCTGGGAACGCTGGGGGCGGAAAATTATTATGTGGCAGTTTCCGAAAATTAGGGGTACCTTATTTCGGCGTCCTTACAATAAGGATCCTACTATTTGGGGAACTATATTAGGGTCCCCTATTTTCGGAAACTCCCATGTGAAGCTTACTTGTGAAGGCCCAGGGGTAGTTCTAAGTGGGGCGCTCGTTTAGCCCGCTGGCCGTTGACATGCATAGGACGATGCTGGCGTTACCCGACATAGCTCTTTCTGCTTCCAACCGAGGCCCTAAACCCTAACCCTCTACGAATCACACCTGCTGCTGTTTTTTGGGGGCTTCGCGAATACCGGGTTCCCTTTGTTTTCTCGGAGGTTCCAGGCCTTGATCGAATAAGGGCTTTCCTATTTCGAAAACTTAAGTTCCAGCAGGGATCCGCATAGTCCAAGACCTAGTAGTGGAGTAGGTAACCTTTAACCTTTTTTGGGTAGTATCGTCCCTATATAATCCTTATATAACCAGAAAGGTTAACCTTTAGTTCCCCACTGATACCCGACAAGTAGGATGGGGTTTAGGGGTTTATAGGGCTTGGGGTTTACGGCTTATAGGCTTTGGGGGTTTAGGGTTTAGGGCTTAGGGTTGGAAGACGGTTCAGAGGTTTTTTGATCGATTTTTCGCAGGTTGCGGCATCCTTTGACTGGGGGTTCGGAGTTTCCTGGGGCCTCATTAATATAGGGGCCTTTATAATTAGAATAGAGTTCCGGGGATCTATAAGGGCTACCATAAGGGATCTATAAGGGTACTATAGAGTATAGGGGCCTTAATAATTAGAATAGGGGTTTGGGGGTATATTACACTAGAACTACAATAAGGAGCCCCCCCAAAGTAGTATAGGTAATTGTTGGGGCCGCCTCATTTCCCAGACCCCCGGGAGGATCCAAAAAGTAGATCCCTTCATGGGAGTTCCTATAAGCTTGCAGTGTTGAGGGTTTGCCATGTTGCATGGTATCTAGTGGCCGGTGTGCATAGGCAAGTTTTCGATACCGCCCTTAGCAACCCTAAGCCGCCTCCTGTACAAGGGTGGGACGGAGCGACGGACGAGCAAGCTTGGCGGGGGTTCTGGCACTCTCCTCGGAAGATCCTGAAGGGCTTCGGGAGAAGTTGAGTCCGCCCAGCAGTG